GAGTTCTAGCAAGGTTCAGACTTTGCTTTAAAAAGCTAGTTAATACGAACATAGGTGTTTCTGTGTACGTGAAGTATGAAAACCTGAAAAATAGGCTTATATTGATGATTAATGTTAAGTAAAACCGCTGGGACCTGTCATCAGAAAAATGGAATTTTATGAAATTAGTTTTTTCGTAATATTTCTAAAAGTGATGAAGCTGTGTATGAATACAGCTGTATGTGAGCATCTTTGCTGCATGTGAGCGTAATTTTAAAGGAATCCTGTGCTGCAAAGATGCGGTTACGGAGTGCTAATGTAAATACGTGGGAGAACTGGTGAGCCTCTCAACAGGCAGATACAGCAACAATTTTTTCACTTTCGTGCAGTGATACACTCCATTGTACTTCAGTGCAGACATTTTGTTAGTATCTCCCTTAATCTGTATGGATTAAAGGCAAGGTTCTTAAATGTGTGGGAGATCTTAAGGCTGAGCTATAAAAGAGTAGTGCTGCTGCTACTATGAGTAAGAATTTTAAATCAGTCTTCTGTTTTCTTATATGCAAGATGAGGTACAGCTAGCTCTTGAATTAGCAGGACTTTGCTTTGAAAAAGCAGGAGCAGTTTTTGTTTTGCAAAACTAGCATTCCTAACAGTCTGCTTGAGGTTCATCTCATGAGGTATTTGCACTAGTTTATACTTCTTACGCTGTGTGATGCACTAGGCAAAGCTTCTGTCATGTGCTTTGTTTGACCTGCAGGTACTTGTGAGCCGTAGCTGCAGAACTTAGTTTACAGGGCATGTGATTCCTTGTAACCTGTCCTAATGTACATCAGACGCTCCTCTGGCTGTTACTTGAAGTCTACTGTAAAGGACTCTGTCAACCTGTTTCTCTGAATTTTTGGGGGATGGGGTTTAGAAAGCTTTCTAACTTGCTAATTATGCTAAACTGTAGTTAAATGAGCAGTCCTGGTTTTCTCACTTTCTCTTGCTAATTTTAATCTACTAAAGTATTCTGCAAAAAGCCCGAGAATAGTCTTTGGTAGGTATAATATTTTGAGTGCTTTCTTTTAAAGCTGGTGTTCATTTTGGTGAAGGAAAAAAAAATCTTCAGCTTCTACATATAAGAGTAATTACTTAATTTCCTTACCTTCTTCCTTTATAGATAATTGGCTGCCATTTTAGGACAATTCCAGTGAATGAAAAGGACACCTTAACATATTTCATCTACTCGGTGAAGAATGACAAGAACAAACCGGATCTAAAGATGGATAGTGGAGTTCATTAGATGGAAAAGGTTGGGACTGAGACTCAGGCTGCAAATCAAAAGACTTGAGGGTTTTTGTTGATATGCAAAAGCTTTCTTTGTAACTTTTTTCTCCCTGGAGAGTTCATCCCTGTTTTATTTTTCATAACCTTGCTGATTTGTTTGAAAACCATCTCTTATGAAACAAATTTCCTCAGCAAAACTATTTTAAATAAATATCACTGATATTGTTGCTCAAGTGGGTGTGTCTGTAACTTATTTAGCAAGTTACTTGTACCTAATAGTTAATCTTTGACTAATTATGTAATAATATTAGAATATTTTTCAATTAGAGTGTACCAAGGATATATTTATGAATGTACTTCAAGCTGTTGTGATGGAGTGCCTTTAAAAAAAAAACGCTAGGTTCTTTTTCCTAAGGTAAAAGGCTTTAAATGACAGTTCCAGTTGTTAGCTGGGCAGAAATGGCTGAATAACATTTTCCCCTTTGGAAGCAAGAATTGATGGGGGCTTTTCTTACTTGTTTATTCATATTGTCATTGCTGGGATATGTGCTTCCCTGCACTGAGGCCTTCCTGCTCCTATATTAAAATGGAAAAAAATGCAGCTTTCAAATTTCAAAGCTATAAGTACAGATGAAAAGACTGGTGCAGCTTACTGTGCTGAGAAATCCTTCCACTTGGTAAGAAATCCTTTAGCTGCTCACTGTTCTGTTCATCTACGTAGAACGAGGCTAAGAACTTCATTGGAGAATGGAGGACAGAGTCTGTGCTGGGTCAATGTGGTATCTTCTAATAGGCATACTAGTTCTTTTTCATTGCATGCGTTAGCTCAGGCCTGTTTTTTAAAAAGTAAATAAATAAAAATAAAATCCAAACCCCAAAATTATGGTAACATGCAAGAAAAATATCACATGGATATTTTCATCAATATTTTAATCGAATATCTTAAAGTCTGTTGTTGAAGATTATACGATGAATGACTTATTGTATTGTTGTCTAATTATTGTGCCGATCTAAATGTGTGGTATATGGAACATAATTTCTTTCTGCTTTAAGGTGTGCACGTAGGTTGAAGAAAAGATGGAGAGAGAAGAGTTCTCCATCTTAAAGTGGAGGAGGACACAGCTTCAGCTTGTTCAGTTGGCATTTGTTGCAACTCTTAACATCAGATGTTTAAAAGCTTTTTCTTAATTTGGGAAAAATGAGAAAGCAGTATTTCTACAGTCTAATCCGCTTGATGTTAATCTTGTGTGTTTTTTGAAAACTTCTGCTTTGCTGTATTGCTGCAACTAAGATGCTGTGCTTTGCTTTTTTGACCTGGGATACTTGCACAGAACTGAACGATGATAAACCCTGACCTCAAACTGGCTGCTTTCCCAGTAGCACTCAGTGGCCTGATTTCTTTCACTTGCAGTATCTTGCGTATTTCCACAATAAAGTTCTGTGGTGTTGGCCTAAGTTCAAGATGGTTAGTGATATCTAGCTAGTGGCAGCTAAAATTGGTATTCCTTTGAAGAGATGTTTTAGTGCCTGTTTTGCTACAGTGACTGTGAAGTTGTTTACTAAATATCATTTGCACAAATTCAGCTTGTCATCTTCAAAGTACTAGTTGCAGAAGCAGCCAGGGAACCTGGCCCTGGATAGGACATGTGAAGGAGAAAGACTTTTTTTCAGAATGCATGGCAGGGGTGAATGTTCTCACCTAGGCCTGGCAGGACCATTAGAAGAAGCTTTGGGAGGGAAGGAGAGTGGGGAGAGAAACAAAAGCAAATTTCTATGGGAAGTCAGTCTATTCCCATTTCTATGGGAAGTAGTAGCCTAAGTGACCCTATCCTGCTGCAGGTGGTAACATTTTTTTCCTCCAGTGTCTTATGGGTTTTCCTTAGCCGGGAGTGGTGGAAGGAAAGTAACTGGAAATCACCTGACTTTACTCCCCACGTTTGCATCTGCCTTAAATTTTTTGCTACTGCTGCTTTGGAAAGCTGTGAATGCCAGGCATGTGCAACGTGATTCATGTAGAAACTAGACGACGCAACCAACAGAAGTTAGATGCCCTTATCACTTATCACTGCCAGAAGCTTATAGAGGATTTTGCACAAGAGCAAATACTATATGTTTTCTTAGCAGAGTGCTGACTTTGGATATTTTGACTTTGATATTGTGGGTTGCCAGACTGATGTGGGGTTTTAACCCTTAATTGATGATTTGGTAGGAAGCCCAAATGACTAGGGAATAATTACACAAACCAGGCTTAAAAAGCCTGGTGACACAAACTGTTTGTTTAACAGTCAGTAGCCTAAGAATTACTTCACAAAAATAGTACACACAGATTTACTTGAAGCATTTATTATTAGCTACGCATAATCAGCGCCCTCCCCTGCTAGCCAAACTTTGTTTACTAACAGAGGAAGAAGAACAACACGCATTGTGATACTGTGATAAGTCTGGTAAAGTGGTAGCAGTTTTCATGGTGTTAGGATTATTAAATGAACAGGACACTGAGTGGAAGACTAAATAGTTACTTCAGTACTACACACCTTTTGTGTGACTGACTTGATAGCTAAGGAGTTTTTATACGTAAGGCAGGTGGCTTGTAAACTTACAAAGAGACGTGAATTTTTGGCTGTTTCTCTTGTGCTGCAGTTGGTATTGGCAGGTGTTGAGAGGTGACTGTAAATCTACAGCCTGGATCATGATACCTCTTAAACATTAACGTGATTATTTCTAATATTTTGACATACCTCTTTGTTTTCACTCCCCTACCTATTTTCTTTACAGGGCTAGCCTAAAAACAAGACAGCATTTTATTTAATTCTGGGGTACTGTATTTCAAACGAGGCTTGATTAAGAAAGGCTTAAGTGTGGATTTTTTATGTTGCCTTAACAGACCTTGCATCAGTCCCATCCTCTTTAGACATCTTTCGGAATATATCTATATATGCGCTATTGTAACTGTTGTAGCATTTTAAATGTTCAGTGTTAAGATTAAGCAAGTTAAGGTTTTACAGATTGCATAGTTAATGCAGGTGACCAGTTAGGCATAAGTAAGACCTAAGTGTACTTTAATACTATTAATGTGAGTTTTGAGGGTTTTTTTCCCAGTGGAATTTTCAAATATGCATCGTGAAAGTTTGCCTTTTGTATGTGCATGTATTTTAGGTTGCCTAAATGGAACGTGGGAGCCTGTCTGCAGAAGTGTCAGAGACTGAATAGCTTTCAGCTTAAAACAACATTAACTGTGATGGCAATAAAGCAATAGGAAGCTGCACTCCTGTAGTTTTCTATGAGAGTCGCATTCCTAATGATGTGAAGGTTTAGGCTTGAAGTTTCTTCATCCAGACTAGTTGAGAATGTTGTGCTGAGTATCAAGAGCTACGCTTTTTGCTGGGGGATGCATTAAGAGCTTGTACAGTCTTTTGCACCATTGTGGAAATTAAGTCAGCTACCAAATTTGAAAGGAGAACTTCTTACGTGTTTGAGATTCCAAAAAGGTAGAAAAAGGAAATTTTTCTGCAGTGTAAAAAGAGGCACTGTCTTGTGGTTAGAAAGGAAGTGTGGTGGTGGTGGTGGTGGTTTTTTTTTTCCCCTTGAAAGCATTATTACATGATTGTAGAATGTCTGTTGTCTTCACTGGCAGACTTGATATCCATCACTGACTATTGCAGGGGATCACGAACGATATCTTTGGTCCAAAGAAAATATCCCTGAAAGATATTACCAGATATTTAAATAGTTAGATCATTGATTTATCAGAACTTTAACATCACAGATATTTCCAGTTGTGGATTTTTTTAGCTTATGGTGGGATATATGTGAGATTACTGTGTTTGTGGGATGCCTTTCCAGCAATGCAAGTGCAACTGCAGGTCTGGGTGAAGATACTGCATTTCTACCTCTGCTGGCCTGGTTTGGAAGTGATGGCAAAACTTTATTTGACTGACCAGAGTTCTAGGACTCCACCCTGGTATTTTAGCTTCGGGAAAGTAAACTTACCAAATACATAATATTATAAAAATAAAGATCTTTGGCATGTGCACGCATACTGTTTAGTGCAATTTGTCCCAAGAGCAGACCTGCAAAGTAGGTCTTCTTTACATCAAGATGTTTGAAGGAAGACCTCCTTATGTATTTATATCAAGGCTTGTAAGAGGCTTTATTAGGCTGCTCAAAGCTCAGAAGTTGAAGCCGGAAACTCAAAGTGCGCTTCAGGGTGAGGACACCATATCTGTTTTTAGGGAGAGTGAAATATGAAAAATTGATTTCAACCCTGCTTTCAGTTTGAATGTGAGGTTTCTAGCTTTAGGAGTCATTCCCACTTGGTTCAGAACTAGTCTGCTACAGGAGTGCTGAAAAGTTGCCTTTTATTCGATTTTAGGGGACTTGAGAAACTTGGATAGTAAAAGAAGCACACATAAAAAGCCATTTTTGCTTGCCTGTATAATGCCATCACATTTTAGTGTCCCTAAAGTATTAGTAAGTTTTGAAGTGTTGATACTTTTTGCCTAAATTTCCTGAAGTAAAGATAGTGCTGGAAAGCTGAATGAAACAATACCTCTTAATACATTCTATTACTTCAAACCAGTATGGTCTGGTGGTGTTTATTAGCCCAATATAAATTTTGTTGGGATGTACATTCTTTCTGTAAAACAAAATAAAAACACAACATGTGTTCATTGAGAACTCCACCGATCACCTTTGTCAGCAGTGCCAGGGAGCCAGAGAAGTGTCAGTGTTCTTGGGCTAAATCTTTTCCCTCCCCTGCAGGCATTTGTGAACGTCTGTTTTTCCTCTTCGCTTTCCTACTTAAACCAGCTGTCTTTACAGAATCATTTATTCAACTGACGTACTGCATACGCCTTAGAATAGCAATATAGTCCTTTACTGTGGAACAGAAATCAAATGGTTTTGTTTGTGGTCCTGAAAACATCTTCATTGCAAAGTGCTGTGAGTAATTTGATGTAGTTCTCATACTTAGTTTAGATCAAACAGAAGAGTCAAAAGTTGGGTGATTTAAATGCTAAAGTCTCCTGTAATAGGATGTGCAGGTTTGTGGAGTATGCTAAGCATGTCCTAGGTGAGCCCCTAAAAAAAAAGAAAACTGGCAGCATATCTGGTAATTGGCTGTGTCTTGGTATTCATTTCAAACCGTCTGAAGTGATGCATTTCTTTAAAATGAAAGCTTTTTCCTCCAGTGGAAACGATAAAATGATGGGAATACAATGGGCGATCATATAGA